AGTTAGGGCAGAAGAGTTAGGGCAGGGGTAAGCGGGGCAAATGTTCAGGCGAAAGCGGGGCCGCGGGGTTAATATCGCGGCCCGCTTTCTCTCAGCTTTGCGACAATTTTGCCGCAAAGCTACGAACCAAACGGTCGACTGCGGGACGAGCCGCTGCCGCACACAGCGCCGCGCCAAAAAAGTTGAACCAAACGGGGCCTTAGTGGACTTAAGCTTACTATGCCTCATGGACAAACCTTTATGATATCATATGATATGAGTTGTGATGTCCTATTTAATTAGAATTTTCTATGAGGGATAGAAATTAGTTTACTCCCCAACAATACTTCGGAATCATCATCCTTGATTGATGAAATTTTTTAATATTCAATTTCTGGGATTTAAGATACTAGTTATAGATCCTTAGGCTATTCTTTCGATCTCTACAAGCATGACAATATCTTCATGGCGATCATGTATGTTGAATAAGCTTTGGATGCATATTTTGTCAGGTTCTTCCTAATACTTTCACTATAGGAATTTAGCAAATTTGTGTCGGCCAAATTAGATGCAAAGCAAACATAAATCCGACGATATTCGAGGATTATCATCGAATTCACGTCAGATTTACATTTGATTTTTTTCCGCGGATAATTCGGGGGTTGGTAATTTTTATTCTGTCAATTTTGAGTCGAATTATTCCGACGCAAATAATTAGCGACGTTTGTTGCGTCGTTGCAGCGTCGGACTACACATGAATCAAATTTTGCATATGAAAACATCATATGATAAAGAATATCCTCAAATAGAAAAAAAAAATAAAAAATATCAATTATATTTATACAACCAACACAGAACATTTAGTATGTATCACAACAACATTATATTCAGTCATATCACAAATCAAAGCTCTGAAATGTCTCATTAATGAAAAATGAGATACTGTCACAAATCTAAATTATCAGCAATTTACATCTACACCATCAATATAAGTTCAAACATTTTAGAAATTAAAAATTTATACGAACTCCAAATCCTCCTCGAGTTCAGCAGTCACCGTTCGCTTGCCCTGGTGATCTTCCATAATCTTTGCAAGGTGTATTATACTCTACTCAATTCTTTATTGGCATCATGCATATGATGAACCTCCTCATTCATAACTGTTACCTGCCTGGCAAGCTTCGCAGTATTCAGGTGTGAAGAGCTCGTGCCACCCACAAAAGCATGAGAGATCTCAGCCTTCTTCCTCGCTGTCTGCGTCCATAGTTCGTACTTAAACTGTGCAGTTGTAGACTGATCACCACTACTACTGGCAATGCTCGGGGTCTGGGAGGCCAACTGCCTCTCTCGAAGTTGCTCGTACTCCTACATAATGAAAACCAATTATTAATTGTCATTTTAAACATTAACTGTCAAAATTAATGTGAAAAAATCAATTTTTTACATACATTCACACTGGGGTAGTCGAATCTGTGCGGGAAAAAGCTCAGGTTTGGTTGCAGCAACAAGTGGGAAAGTAGCAGCAGATGGGAAAGCAACAACAGGTGTGGAAGAAGGCATGCTCTTCTTCCTGCTCTTGTAAGTATTCGCTATAGAGTGAAGAGCATGCGGTCACTGAGGTGGTTGATCTCCAGCACCACTTATGGCCATTTGTAGCAGGACTAGCTCCAAAAATAATTAGGAGCAGTATGTACAAGTAAAAGGATGAATGTATAAAATCTAAACAGGAAACTTATTGTAACTATGTCTAAAACAAAAATAAAAAATAAGACAAATATTACATCGTTTGCAAGATAAATCAAACAGTTCAATTTTTACATTTGCTAAGTGTCACTAGTCCATGGGTATATTACAAAAAGTCCAATATTTTTATGTAGTGTTAAATGAGTATATTGCAACAGTCACTTGGGGACTCATTGTCAACGATGTTGATCCTTCTATAGCTAAGTGTTCCATTGGTTGAAGGATCTCCACTTCATGTTTTTTTATTGCTTAGAATACCATAGCAATTATGGTTGATCTGCTGCAAGAAGCATTAGAATATGCAATTTTGAGGACATTATTCTTAACGAATTTTCTTTACTATGGCGATGAAAAAAGATTCCTTCTATGTCACCATCAATTCGAAAAAGACCCGATGCATATATTGCTTCACTTCAACCAACCAACTTGATTTCCACTAATAAGTAAATACGTATATAACCCATAAACTTCAATTTATACATAAACATACAACAGTACCTATGCATTTAATTCATATATATCACTCAATTCTTGTGTATATACAAGCCTAACACCTAAACTTCAATGTTTACATGCATAACATTAAACTCTTATGTATATGCATACCTAGCTAACACCAAAACTTTAATTTATACCTACATATCACATTACCCATGCATATAATTCAAATCTTATGTATGTACAAACCTAACACCTAAACTGCAATATTTACATGCATACCACCGAACTCTTATTTATATGCATGCTTAACACCAAAACTTCAATTTATACATAACCTATGACAAAACTAACATACATATCACTAAATTCTTGTGTATGTACAAACTAGCACCCGACTTCAATTTGTACATGCACACCACATTACCTATGTCAAAAGGCCCATTTCACTTCTCAAAAATTAAAATGAAAAAGATTGGTGTAAATAAAATTACCTTGTCAATGTTTTCTGATTGGAGCAGAGTGGAAGGGTGAGAAATACATGAGTTTCGGTGGTCTCTATTAGATGCCACTAACGATACCTTCCCAGCTAGCTCTAATGGTTGTGATGGCTCATTCAGGAAGACGATGGTTTCGAGCGAAATTGTGAGAGGGAAAGGAGAGAGCGAGGGTTTCAGGCAGCAGGGAAGACAAGAGAACGCGAAGAGAAGAAATGAAATTTAGGCGTGCGGGTTGAGTAAATTAGGTCATTTGCGTCAGATTTCCATTGAATTTGCTTTAGACTAGTTTGACGCTAACAAGCAAAGTTTTTGCGTCGCTTGGACGCAAATTCAACGCTAATTCTGTGAAAATTCCATACACACTTTCGTTGTTTTCATATTGTTTTTGCGTCAAATGTTCAGACACAAATCAGATGCAAAATCCAACGCAAATATCAAACTGTATCATTCACCGCTTAATGACCGCAAATCCGATGCTGATATAAATATCAAACGCTAACTCCAGCTTCTTCTGTAGTGTCTCAAAGGTGAAGCCTGTTTTTTATTTTATTCTGTCTGGAAGGACTATTCACTGCTTTGTTAGATTTTATTTTTTATCGCTCATATTATTGCATATTGAAGAATCATTAAGGGCTTATTTCATCTTTTCAGGTTCCACTAAAATGAAGGAAAAAAAATTAAAGAGGCACTTCCAAAGATTTCTTCAGTATCTTGTCAAATCCCAAAATTTTTTTCTTTGAAGTTTTGATCTGGATGCTTCGATTTCACATTGATGCGGGAGATAATTGGTTCTTATGATGATATTATTTATAGAGAATGCACAGATTATTGATGACAATGATACTATTAACACTATGTAGTTTGAACAATCATATATCATGCAAAAGAATTTCAAGAAGGTGATGCCAAAAAATTTAAGCTGGGAAAGCATGATCAATAAAAAACCAAGGTATTTCTCCTTGTCCTTTTTAGCAACTGCTTGTAAATAAACAACTGGAGAATGTAGGTACCTCGATTCATGAATGAAAAATACTAAAAAAATCAATAGCAATGTTAGCATTTTCATAGAGATAGAGGATATACTGCCGAGGCTTGTGATCACTTGAAGGATAAGATTAAGGGATTGATTTTGTAGGGCTATCTTCATCAGCTCATTCGAGACACTCTGCTTGGATGGACTTTAAGCCAATTGAGTGGTAGAATGAATAAAAACTAACGCAGTAATAAAGCAATTGCTAGATGGTCAGAGAAAGTGAGACTGTTACTGGAGGACCATCATTTATCCTCACATATTCCACTCTAACCCTCAAAAATCATCACAAAAAAAATCTTATGTTGATCCTTCTATCATATTCAATGATTTTGATTTGAAATAGATTTAGCTCCCACATCTGAGCCTGCTCATCTTTTATGCTTAAACTGTTGATTCTTGCTTCAATTTTAAAGAATCTTAATTAATCATAAACTGCTAATGTTAGTTTGCATAACTTTATATTTCTCATATTTGGTCAAGGAGAAACTCCAGCCAACTGCAAGGTTGCTATATGAATTTGACAATTGACCAATGATGGTGAAAGTAATAATCACTCTTCTTATCATTCTCAAAAAGTTATATGATGGGTGACTCACTTGAGTCAATTTGTGGTTGAGTCAGAGACAACTTATGGTGCTATTTTTTGGATTCTTTTCTAATCAATTTTGGGTATAATTAGTTTTGTTCCATGTTTTAAAATAGAGTTTGGAAGTCCTACCATCTAATAATTATGAGGCATCTCTATCTTCTTCATTAATTTGAGATGTAAATGATTGCATCCCATGTTGATCTATCATGATGCTTGATTCAAAGATTACTCTCAGAATAAACATTATAATCATCAAGTAGATTATAATTTGCTATCAATGTATGTTTTATTTGTGTAGATGTAAAGCGTGTATATTATTGTTAAGCTTGTTATTGACAAAGAAGAGTGGCATAATGAAAATTAACACACGTTGGTTAACAATATGAATTTTTCGGTCGAATATATTATTCTCACTAACTTGTGATAGTTGTTGCATTGGTTGTTGAAGTCCAATTCAATATATTTATGGTCCTTATTTAATCATAAAGGCTGGTTGAGTTGAGTGTTCTGCGAAACCCTAGGGTAGAATGAAGTCGAACTTTTAAACATTAAAGTGTCTTTTGGTGTGATGGTTGGAGTCTCATTAGAAACTCGAAAGTTAAGCGTGCATTTATAGGAGCACTTCTTGGATGTGTGACTTTCTGGGAAGTTACACCAATGGGATAAAATAGTGAGACCATTAGGCTGAAGCGGACAATATATCGTTAAGTGAGAATTTAGGTTGTTATTAATAGCAACAGAGCGTACATCAGCCTAAAGATGGAAACTAAGTAGTGCATAAAATAAAGCTTTAGGTTATGGTAGCTTTCACTTGAATTGTATGAAAATTTAATAATGGAGTGGTGTTCACAAGGCCTTATTTATATATTTTAAGAAAATTTTAATAATTATTTACAATGTATTATTCTCCATATTTATTAATAATGAATAATATAGAGTTCATATTCCCATCATTAAACTATAATTGAACGATGCTTTACCTCAACTACCCGTCTGGTATTACTTGTGACCGCCATAGATAGTTTCTCCAATCATTGATATGAAGACAAAACTATTCAATATATATATATATATAGTATTTATAAGCAATCATATTGGGAAACAATATTTATCCTTTGTAATATTATTTCTGATTGGCTTTATTAGGTCAGCTGATATTATCGAACTTTTCGTGGCGTTGACCCTGTCAACCAGCCCATGTAAAAATATGCATTAAATTCACAACCGAAAATGCCCCCTTTATCCTTGAGAAAACAATATAAAAGAGAAATATTTATATATATATAGTGGCATTTTTGTGTGATGAAAAAATTTGGGTGTTAAAAGTGTAAAAAGTGAAGTTTAGGTGTTAGATATGTAAAGATATGTAGACTTGGGTGGTATGTATGTAAATGCCCCTACTTGCCCCAAATTGATCAAAATTAGACAAAATGTCCAATTTTTACCAAAATATCAATTTTACCCCTAAATTGCCCAATAATACCAAGTTACCCCTCATGCCCCAAAAATTCTCAAAACCTCCAAAATCATTCCAAACCTCTCTTAAACCTATCCAAACCACTCAATGGACCTAATTGCACCAAGATCCACCAAAATTCCCGAATTGCACCTAAATGCCCAAAATCTATTCACCCCCAATTCCCACTAAATTGATTTCAAATTTCCCCAATTTCAACTCCACATCAAATTTCATCATGCCTTAGCCCAATTGAAATCAAATTCTAACCCAATTCCAAACCCTAATTTCAGCCCCAAACCCATTAGCCCCAAATTGACCCAAAATCCAAAATTCACCAAATTGAGCTCCATAACCAATTCAATTTCCCCAATTTCAAATCCTAAATTCTTCATGACAATTTTATAAGCCAAATTGAGCATTTACATGACCCAAATCCAAACCCAAACCTAGCCTAAACCCAAGCCCAAATCAAATGCCCCAAAATTTGCCAAACTTCAAATTCCATTAAATTGAACCATGTGACCAATTCAATATCACCCAATTCACTTCCTAATCTCTTCATGACATCAGCATAGACCAATTGGACCCTTCAATTAATTTTTAAACCAAGCCTAAGTCAAGCCCAAATCCAAAATTTAGCCCAAACCTTAATTTTGAGCTTAAAATCCAAATTAACCTAAACCTTTCTTGATTAGCCTCCTAGGATGCTAATCAAATCACCCAAGGACCCAATTTTGAGCCATGGACCAAGGGTTCCTTAAATCATGCACACTTATCTCCTAATTTGGCTAATCTCACTAACCCATGCAACTAGCCCACCTAGCCCCAAGCTTATCACAATTAAAACTTTCCTGACCTTGCTAGCCGCCTTCTCTAGCCTGGTTAGCTAGCCTAATTGTCGAAAAACCCAAAACTGAGAAGCCCCTCCTTGTTTTAAACCCAAAATTGAGCCCATCCAATGTGGCTCACTCCCATTGGTGACCCATTGGTGAATTGTTGGTGAATTGCGCCGCTCAACCCTCCACCTAAGCATCCTTCTCCACCCCCCTGGCATGGCCAATTATGCACAAATTCCATGCTATAAATTGAGCGCCTCTCACGGCCAAATGGAGGGTGCTACCAATTCCTTAGGGAGATCCCTATAAATTGCTTTCAGAGCTTCCCCAGATCTTCCTAAGCCCATCATAATCAAATTCCAACCATCTCCCCCCACTGTAAAACCCTAATTTCAAGCTTGAAATCTAAGGATTTTTCTGTTATTCCAACAAACTCCACAAACCTTGAAATTGATTGTATCAAAAGCTTTCCCAGACCAAATGAGTAAGTTCCTATCAAAACCCCTATCTCCCGAGTGCTCTAACCCACTCCTAGACCAAACTTGTGCCAACAATTGACCGAATTCCTAGCCAGACCCAATTTCAGCTCAAAGCAGCACTTGGAGGGCATTCATGGACTCAAGGTGAAACTCCAATCGAGGTCTCACCTCTTGGACAAAGGTATAATCCAAAATCCCTAAAATCTTGCTCGGCTTCACCTATTGTGAAGTGAATTTGTATTTCATATGATTTTAACAGTATGGATATGTTCATATAGATTAGATGAAGCTATAAGATCGAACTGTGAGTGATTTGATTGAGTATCGAGCGAGATAAAAGCATTTTAGTGTGAACGGTTCTCGATTTATGTCAGATGGGGACGATGAACAAATGTTGTTCATTCGCATGTGTATTGATCCAACAGCGAAGGAGGAGTCAGACGAGACGATGGAACATAAAGCGTGTGTTGATTTAGCGTTGACGCGGATGGAGTCGTCGCATGCCGTGTGGGCTTTCGGAGCTGCTGAGGAAGGACGTGGCGCCGTGTGGATGAGTAGAAAAATAGGGCATTTTATTTTTCGATAAATTCAGAAACTTCAAAAATTCATAATTTGTTGTAGAAAAATCATAAAAATTAATAAAACTACCATTGTGCTCAGTGAACCTAGCAGAAAATTATGAATTAAAAATTAAAATTATTTGTCATATATCTTATTTGTAAGTAATTAAATACCCCAGAGCTTTTTTTTAATTTTAATTAATTAAATATTGGTCACCATGACTTGATATTTGGAAGTTTTATCCATCATGTGATTAAGAGTGTTCCTTGATCTTTCCAAAGTCAGAGAACACCCCTAATCCTAAAAGCTCTAATTTTAAAGGTTAGTCTCCCATTCTTGATTGAAATAATTATATAAATTAAAATATAAATCAGAAAAATATGGGACTTATTTTGGTAGATTTACTGTGGTCAAAGGGCCTTAGGAAAAATATAAAATGAGTTTAAATAATTAAGTATATTATCTTATGTAATTAAGCCACTAAAAATCATAAAAAAATTAAGAAAATGAAATATAATTCAATAAATCACAAAATTTGATCCACAGTGAAGATAATGAATATATTATACCTCTTCAAAATTTTGTAACCCATTTAAGTTGAATTTAATATCAAAATCTATTTTTCCTAAATTAAGATTTTTTACACTAAAATAATTATACTAAATAACATATAATTAAGAAATATATGAAAAATAGTTCAGGGTGTTCCTTGTGACATGGGGTACTTAAGAAAAATAAAATTTATATTAAAATAAATAGTTCATTTTTTAACTAATTTTTAATTTAAAAATAATTAAAAATCACAAAAATATAAAAATGCACCATAATGTCAAACTATTCCCTGACCATTGGGACCGCTTAAAAAATTTTTCCTAATGTTCTTAATATATTTATGTATATTTAAATGTTAAAATTTTATTTTCCTTAATTTTGCAATAAAATAATTACAATAAATAACATAAAAATCACAGAAATAAAAAGTTTATTTCTCTGAGTTCTCTGAACTCTAAGAGACTAAAGAAAAATATAAAAAGTAATTTGAAATTAAAACATATTTTTTATTTAATTCATCATCATAATCGATAAATAATTATAATGATTGAAATAAAACTCAAAAAATTACGAAATTCGGTCCAAGTGGTCGTCTTACATAGGTAAACCTCCAATAT